TAAAGTTGCCACACATATCTCATATAAACAGGAAGCAAAGGTAGGAAGGAAACATACAGTACATCCCAATGATGACATTTCCAGGTGAGACCAAAATCTAACTAGTAATGCCCCTGTTGTAACTAGTATGAAGCGAGAGCAGATCTTCATACTAGATATGATGAGCTGCAGACACAGATGCCGCGTCTGCAGAGCACAAAGGTGCACTGACTTGCACTTGAGATTCTTTCCCCATACGTAGTTAACAGTGTACACATGTCTGTTAGAGCGTGGGCGTAGTGCAGAATACTGCTGTTACTAACTGGAAAGTCTGCCTGTGGCAGTCATCTTCTTTTGATGATTTTATGTAAGGCTAGAAACATTTTTTTACCTTGACAAAGTAATAATGTACTTGCTAAAATATTAACACACATGAGCAAAAAACTTCTAAAACCACAAAAACAACCACCCAAACCAACCAGATTAACTTCTGCAATTGAGACTATGACATCCTTCTAAAGATTATACTTTTCAGTGTTGAACAATTTCAACTAGTTACCCTGAGTTACTGTGAACTGGATCATAGTATCTTGGCAAATAAGTTCTTAGAAAGTATATAAATCAAAACCAGGGTGGTATCTTTTTCTGGATTAGCTTTGTTTTTCCTCAGCACTGTGAAGACTTCAGTTAGTGCTGTGCTTAGAATTTTTTTGTCATCCAAGCTGGCGATTGAGGACTGACTTCTTCCAATTCTTTACATGCACACTTTCTGAGAATCTTTAACATGTAGCCTAAACAAGGAGACCTTGTGTAGAGTGAGAGACTGAGGAGTGAAAGAATCCTTACAAGAGCAGTATTCAGACATCACTAGTGTGGCTTCAGGGTATAGCAGTCATAAGTTTCTTGTTCTTTTGGGCATCTCAGCAGAGTACAAGTATTTCATAAATCCAGGGCTGGAGAGAGCCCTGCACTGGGCTCAGAAAGAGCATCTCTGCCAGTGTTTCAGCAGAGGGACTTCTGCTATAAATGTGGTGGCTTGTGCCTTTACAGGTGCAAGTGAAGTCACAGAAATCTGTTACGTATTGGGGCTTGGTTCTTTCAGATCTTTAAAGGGAATTTAAAAGAACTTCTTCATAGCTAAATAATTGTTACCGCTGTAATGTTACAATACCACTGAGTCGGTGTTCTAGTTAACACATTAAAGTATTACTCTTTCTCTAATGGCTCTACTTTGACCATTTTTTTTCTCCTGTGTTCCTAAGACTAGAAGGCTACTATCCAGTTAGGCTACTTGGGTTTATATGTATCCTCAAACATAAGGAACAATGTTAGAATTAGTGGCTGTGTTAGTAGTTTCAGTGGCATTTGTTTAAAGCTGTGTTTGAGTATCTTGTTTGAAACCAATCACATTTCTCTCTTGCTTTTACTAATACTATACATTGGCACTTTGCTAAATCAAATCATATGTCACTAAGAGCTGCTACAGATAATTTTTAAAATGGACAAAATTCTTACACCCTTAAACATTGTACGTCCTGTCCCTAATACATAGTATCCCTTTTTATACACATAATTTAACAGAGCAGAATTTGTGTAAAAATTGTGTATGCTTATGTTCATTATAGCTAGCAACAATGTATTTTTTTGGTTTATGGTCAGTAGCACTAAGTTGAATTAGAACATGAAGGAAGACAAATGCTAACTTGCACAATAATCTTAGTTTTCAAGGACCTGTTCTAGCCACAAATAATTAGAGAAAAATCTGAGTTATAGAGTATATATATAGTATATACAGCAGAATATGAGTTTGAATGTCAAACACTAACGACACAGTTATTTTGACTCCTACTAGCATTTTAATTGTTAGGAGTCTCAGACCTGCCATTATATTGCTTATTGCTTTTACTCTTCAGTGTTGCATGAGAGTGAAAGTATTCACTTCAGTCTGCCAGAAGAATTGTTAAAGATCTGAATATTATAAAATGTGGAGATTCAGGGTTTATGTTTGCTAATATAACCTCAGAGCAAAACTGATGGCCTGGAGGAACTATGGAATTAGATGTTCTCTGAACTGTAAAAAAAAATGGAATTCTTCAGCTCGGCTGCCCTTTTTTTAATATTGGCTAGATAAATACACAAATAGTATTTTTTTTTTTTTCCAAAACGTAAGAAATAGGATACATCCATAGCCTCATCTTGATGCCCTGAGTTTTCACTGACTTTGTGCTCATGAGGCATTAAAACAGTCTCACTTCATGAATTAAAACTGCCTCCTTTAACTTGCTTCTCCTCACTGGGCTCTTGAAGAGCTACCTGAACATGAAAATGCTAGTCCATGGGAGTCAAAACATCTCAAACTAAGACCAGCAAACCACAGTGGAAGTATGTCTTTATGCAACAAATTCAGCTTAGAGGGATAGCATTATATGCAGTAACATTCATTTTTGTTGTAAAATTGTCCCCTTTTTAACTTAGACTGTGCTAATCAGTCTTGGGGCTTCTATTCCAGGAACATTACAGCATCCAAAATCCTACTGAACCCAAGATACCGTCTTAATGCTGCTATTAAGCTTGTAAATGAGTGACTGCAATACTTGTAGTTTATGAAGCTTTTGGACTAGATGACAATAAAATGAGGTCAGCATGAGAAAAAGACAGTCTGGATTTTACCTCTAATGTATTGCAAAATCTGCCAGCTTCCAGAGATACAGTTCCATTTGTCTAGCTTTAACTTGCTAGATATTAATAATTTAAAATGTACTATTCCATTAAAGCAACAGTACTGCTTTAGCACTTGAAAGTTAAAATATCTAGTATCAGTCTCAGCACTGTAATAGATAGATGTGCAAGTCTATTGCAAAAAGAACCAACAAAAAAACCCCAGGTCTCTTTTTTTTTAAACTGAAGGCTTGTGGCCAAATAGGTGGTTTGCAGAGGAGACCTCCATTCCTTAATCAGGAAGCTAACTTGCGTTTTGTGCTGTAGGTTGCTAGATTTTACTCTGAATAGCTGTCATCCTTCCCCTGTACTCGGCACTGGTGAGGCCGCACCTCAAATACTGGGTTCAGTTTTGGGCCCCTCAGTTCAAGAAGGATGTTGAGGCACTGGAGCGTGTCCAGAGAAGGGCAACGAAGCTGGCGAGGGGTCTGGAGCACAAGTCTGATGAGGAGCGGCTGAGGGAACTGGGGTTGTTTAGCCTGGAGAAGAGGAGGCTGAGAGGAGACCTTATTGCCCTCTACAACTGCCTTGAAAGCAAGGTGGGGGCTGGTCCCTTCTGCCAAGTAACAACTGATAGGTCAAGAGGAAATGGCCTCAAGTTGCACCAGGAGAGGTTTAGATTGGATACTAGGAAAAATTTCTTCACTTAAAGGGTTATCGGACTCTGGAACGGGCTGCCCAGGGAAGCAGTTGAGTCAGCAATGATTCTATGATTCTACCTGTTAATTTTTCTGGCCAATACACACATCTACCTGAAATAGTGTCTCATGTTGTTGAAACACCACCACTCCCTCCTAGTGCTGATAGGTAGCTGCGCATTTCTTTCGTGGCAGCATCATGCATGCAAAAATCAGTCTTTAATGTAGAGGAATTGTTTTCTACAACACTTTGAGCATGTATTTCGATGTGATGCTTCAACTAAACTGCTAGCAGTAATGTATTCTCTTTAGTAAATTTTTCACAGGACTGGTGCTATTGGCTGTGCAGAAATTCACAATTAAAAATACTGAGCTGGTGGCTAAATAAGCTTAACTTTGCAAATTTTTTTACTGACAACTGACCACAGTTGCAGGGAATATCAGCTATATTCATCAAATGACATTTTGAACCGAGATGGAGTTAACTGGGGGGAGGTACCACATTGACACTGGCTGAAAATCAATTGAAATGAGTAAAAACACTGTTGTAATAGGTATCGTGTCTTAAAATATGATGTTGTATAGAATACGTACATGGATGATACTGTTCTAAGATGTGTGTTGCTAGTAAGGGGTGTTAGATTCAAACAGAGCAAAGCTGATGTTTTCTCAGGAAAATTGTGTTGTGTTTTGGTGTTTTGTTTGTGTTTTTTTTTTTTCTTTTAAATGTCGTTAGAAAATACTCTAGTTTAACTACTGATCTTTTTGGGGTCTTGAATCTTAAAAAAAGGACCCTGGCGAAGCCGAGGAAAGTGGAACGCAGGGAAAATTGGTGGAAGCGCTCAGGCAAATGAGAATTACTCATAGGGGGAACTACCGCCACCTTCTGGAAGAGATGCTGACTAGTTACAGGCTAGCTAAGGTGCAGGGAGAAGAGTGCACTGCTGCATCACCTGCAGCATCCACTTCAGATACTCATGCTGGACCCAGTGACCCCCTACCAGACACCCACACAGAATCTGGGAATCACCTTGCTGAAACGCAGAGCTCAAATGAAGATTCAGGGATGAATGAGATGAGTCATAAACAGACGTAATGTTTTACCTAGCGGATTTAAAGCTTCGCTTCACTTGGCGTATTTTCCTTTGTTTATATCTCAACATTTGTCACATCTATCCTAGAATTCTGTTTGTTTTTACCTTAGTTATTTGTACAGATTGTTTATACAAAGCTCTTTTTTCCTTAGAAGTTCAAATACTGTGGTATATTATAGTAATTACATCTTGTCTTGTATAGCAAGCAGTTAACTTCCCATCTGAGATTTTGATTTTTTTTTAAGTCCTGTGACAACAATAGGAATCTAACATGCTACGGCAAAAATAAATTTTAAATTTTTTTTCTTTTAAGTACACTCTTAAATAATAATTTTGAAGGTATATGTTTGCTAATTGTAAAGTACTTCACACCTTAATTGTATCTCTTAATGTGCAAATCAGTTGAACTGTGTAGATTCTTCAGTCTTTTTTTTCCTTTTCCCCCAGCATCATATACTGCATGTTTGTATTTGAATTGTGTATGGCTTATATTACAACTAAATTACAAAAGCTTTGTTTTAGGTTGTCACTTATTCTTCATGAAATGCATTTGATTTTTTTTTTTTTTTTCCCCAATTTAAATTGTATCCACTGTTGATCACAAGTACCTATTTTCTGGACTACTGTACTTCCCAGGTTGTAGCACAACCCCCAATTTAAATTGTATCCACTGTTGATCTGGACTACTGTACTTCCCAGGTTGTAGCACAACATATATCCAGAAGTGAAAATGTACTTAGATTTAGTACCTAGTGTCAAGTTCTAAGGATTTGTGTTTAAGTGAAAATAAAGAGTGTGCTGTGGAATAATATCTGTATGCATATTGACTCTTTTAAGCGAGTAATAAACTTCCTTTGAAATGCTGTCTTCTGACATGACTTGAAACTTTTCATAGCTTCTGATAGTAACTCATGATGTTTGTTGGTTTCTACAAACATTTGAGTAATTTGGGGTTTGGTACATTCATCGTAATCCTCTATTTGGGCAACATTTCTTAAGTTCAAGTTAAACGTCAGCCATATAAATGAATAACCTGGCTATTCCACAGAGTTTACCTTCTACCAAATCTTTTCCGTGTCTTTTGGTGTATGGCACATGTATGTACATGCATTTGGGTAGATCACTGATAACACTGGGAGCTTACAGTGTCGGTAGCTAATCTGCTAATAAACTAAATCTGGAATTCTTGTGTCAATGGTCAGCTCATAACACTTGCACAAAAATATCGTTGTTCAAAATAGGTACAAATTTCACTGCCTTAATGAAAAAGACCCTGCGGGAATTTCTTGCGGACCAGGAATACCTGAAGAGCTGAGTTCCTTAGTATTTTTTTTGTAGTCCATAGATGTAGTGTCTATTGATAGCTATGATTTAATAGAATTTTAGATAAATATTTAATTTTAAGGCTTTATGCTTATAGCTTTACTGGATTCATGTTTTATAAAAGTGAATTCCCTCATGAATTTGAGGAACAGAAAATGTGTGTGAGGAAGTGGGCAGGTACGGAAAAAAAGGAAAAATTAATCTGTCTTATGCTAGTATTCTACTTAATTGTGCCACTTAAATCCAAAGTGCAACAAAATGTTTTCGTTTGTATTGGTGAGTAGTAATGTTTCTCCTCTTCTTTTCCTGTAGGGTGCTGGAGATCTAGAAGATCCGTGGTAGCCTTACAAATCTACTAAAATGCTTTTGATTCTGAAAGGGGGAAAAAAACTTTTAAATATGTTTTCTTCAATACAAGGGAAAAATTCTGGTGGATTTCCAACTTTTTGTGAAATGGGCAGAAAGATATTAGAATTTTCCATCATTTGTTCATTTTTGTGTTTTCTGATATTGCCACTCTTAGCATTGCCTGTACTACAGTATTTTTACCAGCCTCAGGCGTACTGATTACATCTGTGATGAACTTTGGCCCTAAGAAGGAAGGAAGGAAGGATTCTCTCAGCAGATTGGTATATGTACCTGAGGTGCATGGGATCGTAGGTGTACTCTGAAGATACACTATGGCTAAATGAAACGTGCAACACATGAGCATGAGAGAGTACGAGTAATGGTTTGAGACATTACTTATTTCACTTTACCAAGTTGGAAGGCTTTGCAGCTCTGTGGCTTGGAAATAATTTCAATTGGGCAATACGCTATCAGATTTGTATTTTTTTTTTTAATTTTCCAGTTTTACCTGTATTACCAGACCGTTAGGTTTCCCTGCGGTGTCCAAATTGTGATATGTTGCCTACTGCTTGCTTTAAGATAAGTGTATTTGGCAATAATATATGAAGATTCTAGGCATCTAAAAACAGTAAGAATTTTACGCATGTGTACAACACACCCTTAAACTCTTGCTAGAGAAAATCTTTTAAAACCAAACTGATGAATTTATAGTTAGTAGTGACTTGCTTTGACATCTCTCACAGCTGCAGGTTTTTTAAAAAATGCTGAAAATTTGCCTTTATTATAATGTAAATTGTGATTATTTTTTTGTTCTATGTGGTTTTCTATAGTTTTTTGATTATTTTTTTTTTCCAGCTTAAGATACAGACAGAAGTCTTGTGTAATATGGGTATAATTTTTAATTGTTTGCATTATTTTCAAAGTTCAAATTATCACTTTGAGATTACTATAAATACACTTAAAATTATCTATTTTAAATTAAGAAAATATTAGAGATATTTTCATGGGTTCAATGACCTTTCATTTTATAAGCAATGGGCATGGTACAGAGTGGCTGTCATGTAAGGTACTTGAAGATTCTTAGTTTAATTCTATTTTTGCAATAACCTTGACTTTTTTTCTGACTTCTTTGAGTTGTGCATGTAATGAGTCCAGTAAATGCTGAAAATGGGGAAGAGTAAAGTATTTATCTAAAATAAAAGCTATTGGGGAGGGGAAACAATGAATGTATCCATCTGTACATGATTTACATGCTGTGGATGCCTTGTAGACATTTTCCTATTTGTTTAAACTGTGTTTCAGCGAGGATGTAATTGCCCTTGTGTGTAGTTTTAAGCTAATGACAGTCATCAACTGGTTTTGTGTGAAATGGAATTCATGGTATTTTTCTGTAACTTTATCCCCATGGTGAGTCTGTAAAAACCACACGCTCTTTCATACTGGTGCCAAAGGCCAGCTTTCCCAATCATTTTGATTCACTGTGTATCTGATTTTTTTTTTTTTTTTTTTTGTCTAGAGAGGATTATTGCCACAGTATATTTTATTTATTCATTAGATTTTAGCCTTGTAAGTTAAAGTGTTCTAAATGATGATGTTAACAGGTATTTGTCCCTTTACTGGTTTTTTTGGGGGTTGTTAAAAGATAGGGAATGAAGAATGCAAAATGGTTTATTGTTCAGACTGTCCGCTCTGGTCCAACCCTGTACTGATAGTACCTTCCCAGTATGATATTGTGATGTTTCATACAATACAGTGAACATAACCAACTTGTTATCTTCAATAAAGGATTGCTAAAACAGTGTGATATGCTTTCTATTTTCTTGAGAAGGATTTATCAAGAAGATGCAAGTATTCTGTATGAAGAGATAACCAGATAGGATTTATGAGGTGTCTCGGTGATGGATTTGTGTTCATTCTGTAGCGAATGTGGCTTTTTGTCACAATAAGCCCCAAGTCTCAGAGTGGGCTCTTCTGGGAGACAGAAGGGTGCAAACAACATGTAGGGCTCCTAGGGCAAATCTATCCCAAGTTCAGCTGGAATGAGTCTTATTCTGGCTGTGGGAGAGCATTCATTTAAGGTCTAAAAATGCAGATTAAACTTGACTTTAGGCCAATAATTTCTTGAAGTTTCTTAAAGATCTGAGGTGAGACCTATAAAGTTTTACTTTTGCGCAGTGTTTTGGATAGAAATTTCTCTAATGTTAATGCTCTTGCATTAAAACTTCTATTTATTTTTTTTTAAACTTTATTATTGAAGTTGTTTAGCTGGGTGGGAAAGGAAACCAAAATCCTGCATGTAACTGATACTGCGTGGTAACAACCTGTCTGAATTCTTAGTGTCACTGTGGAATGGGTGCATTTACGAATAACCTGTAGATTTTTGAGTCTAAGCTCTGTAAGTCTGTAAGTTGTTTGAGCTTTTTTGTTGGATCTGCTTGTACAGCATAACTCCTGCATGCTTTCCTCATGAACTGCAATTTGAATACCTTGTTCCACTGCTGAGAGTTCTTGTACTCCATAGGCTCCAGTCCTATGGACACTTACATGTGTAGGCTTTTTACATAATGTGGATAGTCTCCCTGAAATAAAAGGGTTTATGCTTTTATTGTATGGAAGTGAAGCCTGCACATAGGTATTTCAAAGGGAAGGACCATAGCTTGCACAGCTACAAAAAAATGTAAATCCAGACTTTTTTTTTTCTTTAAATTAGCATTACTTCCATTCATGCATCTGTTAGGTTCCAAATTCTAATCACGTTTTTAGTTTAATCAAGATACTGTTCAGATTTCAGCAGCCTGGAAAAAAAACCCAAAACACTTATGCTTTTTGACTTTGTAGTCAGTGAGAAGTCTGGATGTTTGATAAAATTTGTTCATGTATTTGCCATAACTTGTCAATTTTAACATTTGTTTTAAGATTATGATCTCTTAATTATATTGCCAACCTGGTAACTAATGTAAAGATACTTCTGTGGAAGGCTGAGAGTGGGGAGTGTCTCTTCCACCTCAGGTCTTTCTCACATGTCAAATTCAGCTTGATTCTTTTCTTCTCTTCATTTTTCTGACTTCTCCTGTAACAGAGACAAAGTAGTCTGTGTCAGTTCTCAAGTCTGTTCTCTGCTAAACTTGAGCAAAATAGAGATTGGTTTTACCTCATCTTGATTAGTGTGTTGAATGGAATAGGGAATAAAGAAATGGATGCAAATCTAAGTGGTATCATCCTGACCTCAGAAGGCTAGTATGAGAGGTTAACTACAACAAAAGCCTCCTCTGGATCATCATGTGCTTATTTGAGCCTGCATGCAAACCTTTGTAGGACTTGGCCAAAATATCCAGACTTTTCATGCCCCTTATGTGACCTAATGCTGATGTTGCTATTTAGGTGAAGGAGGAAAAAAAAAAAAAAAAGCAAAACCAAACCGTACACTTGAAATAGGCAAGATGTCATTTCTTTTAACACATCATAGGCTAGCTATTAGTGGCTAGGTAGCTTCTTGGTATCACTTACAAAGTGGAGTTAAGTCAGCTGCTTCATCTCTGAGCTTTCTTACACTCTCAGCCATAATCACTGGCTTAAATCATAAAAAAAATAAAATTAGCCTCAGAAAACCAGTCGTTTTTCCTTTGGCATTTCAAAGGTTCATAGCGGAAATCAAAATGAGTAGGAACTTGAGATTAGTTACAGAATTGAACCAAGCTTTAGGGGCAATTTTTATTTCTGGAAGATGAAGCAAAACCCAGTGCTGCCTAATGTTAGATATCAGGTCTATTCTGGTAAAAAAAGCCACTGTGCCAAGCATTTTTTAACCTGTTAACTAATTAGGGTTTTGTTGGGCTAAAAAGCAAATTTTAGATAAGGACTGTCTACTGAAGGCATGTTGCTTTTAGCTCTTTATAGCTGTTTTTTTAGCTCTAAAATAAAAATTAAGTCAGAGGGAGGTAGCTCCACTGGTGCAGGTGAGCAACTGCATGGGATGCTCCCAGAGATGAAGGCAATTTGACAAAGCCACAAGAAAGTACCCAAGTCACTGAGCTTTTGCAGTGCAATCCAGGAAGTGTGCAGTTTAGGCAGTTGAAACTCCCACCTGGGGTCTCGGGTGTCTTCATAACCCCTTCCTTTCTCTCTGTGCCAATCTGATCTTGTCCTGCTCGTGCTCATTTGGACTGTTGCTGTATAGATCTGACTTAGCTATGCTTTGCTTATGTCGTCTTACGTTCCTACATTGCTGCTTCTCTGTTGATCAAAGGACAAGTAGCTTTTCCATTTTAGCATGCCTGTGCTCCTTTTTGTGTTCAGCTCACTGCTTGAGGTCATCTCTCATTTCCATCATTCACTTTGCTACATGCTCAGTTAGCGCTGCTGTGCTTTGCCCTTTTCCCTCTGAAAGGTCCCGTTCCCCTTTTTCTTCAAAAACCTTCTTAAAGTTCTCCTTTGCTGCGATGCCTGGATTTAAAGACAGATCTGGATTATTGAGAACTTCCTTCTCCATTGATGACAGCTTCTGTGCTTGGCTGTCATGATTTGTCCATACGCAGCTTGACTAGGAATTTCCAACAGTGAAAGCTTTGCTTGCTGTTACTGCCATTAGCGACTGTGAATTAACATCAACTAATGATTGCCTCTGCACCTGCTTTTAAAACTACCAAAGGCCGATAAGGATTCAAGTCATGGGAATGGGCTTCTGAGGAGGGGGGAGCACCATTGCCATCCTCCATCGGTTCGGTAGTCACAGAATGGCAAGGGTTGGAAGGGACCTTGGGAGATCATCTAGTCCAACCCCCCTGCTAAAGCAGGTTCACCCAGAGCAGGTTGCACAGGACACCATCCAGGCGGGCTTTGAATATCTCCAGAGAAGGAGACTCCACAACCCCCCTGGGCAGCCTGTTCCAGTGCTCTGTCACCCTCAAGGTAAAGAAGTTTTTCCTCATATTTAGTTGTCCTTGCTAATAAAGGAAG